CTTCTGAAACTCACAACATGGTACAAATCACACTCACAAAGCATCCTCTCCCCAGTTCCCTCTCTCCCACTGGGCAGGCTTAACCATCTCTCAATTTCACAACCGCAGGCAAAGAGCTTGAAAAGAAATACAAAGAACAGGGAAGGGGATAGGGACCCTCAACAGGCCCTCCACTTTGATGCCCTTGCTCTCTGGGAAGCCTCCTCTGGCTGCTCCGTTTAAAATTTCAACCCTTTCACCCTGAGCGGTCTTCCCAGTACCCACTATCCTGCTCCATGGCACTTACTACCTGCTAACCTACTAGAGGACTTATCCAGCAGGTTGATTCTTCTTGACGCTTCCTCTTGCTGCAAGTGCAGACTCTTAAAGTCAAGGATATTTACCTGTTTCTTCACTGTTGAATCCCCAGTGCCTGGGCTAGTGTTTGGCACATAGTAGTTGCTTAGTGAATATCTGTTTGGTGAACGAATGAATCAGGCCTGGGTGATTCGTTACAAAGCAAGATGGCCCTCACCACTTCACTGCGGGACTATGCTGGAGCCAAGAAGAGCAGCCCCTGCCTGGCCCTGCTTTCCTAGGTGACTCCGACCTCGGGTGGGCCCACCTCTGGACCCACCTCCGCAGCCCTTGCAGACATCTGTATCCTGTTCACAGCTAGGACTGGAGTGCCACTGGCTCATGAGGGCGACAGGCTGTGATGTCCCCAGGCACCTGGAAGCTGACCCACTGTCAACAGGAGTCAGTAAAGCAAAGAACGCCGTGAGAGAGAGCTTTGGCCCAGACACAACTGAAAGTATCTCAAAAGCAGAAGCATGTGCTTAAGGCCTCTGGCTCTCAGGCAGGGGAGAGGTGGTATGCTGGATGGCAGGGATGCTGAAATTTACTGAGAAATCTGCCATTTGCTCTGGGGCCTATCAAAGAAGAGCCTCGCCTTGTGGTGGGAACAGCTGCTTCTCCCCCCCGCAGTGGGTTGCTTCAGGGCACCTGAGGACAGCCCCGGCTCTGCTACCTCATCTCCTCGTTTGTCTGCCTTGCTGACATTTCCTCTCACTTCCCTCCCATCAGTTTGGCAGGTTTTTATCACACTGGTTTCAGTGTGTATAGACATTCCCTTGGGAGTACTGCAGTTGTAGTAAATATATACCATATACATACACACAGACATGTACAAAGCAAGGAGACTGATGGAGATACACAGAGACAGACACAGGGGAAGGAGTGTGTGTGTCCATATATGCGTGCACGCACACACACACACACACACACACACACACCCTAGGGAGATACCCAGAGTCACGCAGAAGAAAAGCAAAAAGACAGAAAAATATGGCACCGCAAGAGACAGGCAGACCCTGACAAAATGACACTGATACCTAGCAGGGCGCACTCAGCCACTCCAAGAAAAAGTGTACTACATAGAAAGGAGCCCTTGCTGGACAAGAAATAGAGAGGAACTCACATATCCAAAACAACAGAAACAGTATCCCGGCTATAGAATTATTCAGCCTGCAAATAATTGTAGTAATAGCTCCCATTGCTTTTATCACTCAGGAAATTCCAAGGACTGTGGTAGCTCTGTGCCAGAAATAGGGATGAACACTGAATACATAGTTCTTATTATAAATCACAATATCACAATTAGGTATATTATATATGGCTATCACATCAGATGAATGATATTATTATTTAAGAGATAGTTAACGTAGGCTATTTAAGTTTAACCAGCAAGTTTATATAAATGAAAACACAAAGCAAAAAATAGCTCAGAACAGGGCAAAAGTCATGGCAGTGATAAACAGATGACTGAAGCCTGGGGGAATGCTTTCTTTATCTAAAGTATAGTCTTTTAATCATACAAGTTCAAACTTGGGAATTAAGATAAGCAATAAATCATTCATATCAGTTCTTCTCTTTTCTAATTCTGGTTGTGTGAAGACACTGGGAATTCATTCATTCATTCATTCACCTGTACATTCATCAAATAACTATCACAGGCCTATAAGATGAGATTTAGGCAGACGAAGAAGACATAGAACTGTCCTCCAGCTGCTGTCAGTCTGCTAGGAGAGAAAGACAAGAAAGTCATCACAGCTCAGTCTGAGAAGAGCTACCGTAGAGGTGTAAAGCACGGGTCAGGAGTAGCTCACTGAATGTGTGATAGCAGAGCTAAGCTTTAAGGGAAAAGAAAAAATTAGATGATAAAGTGAAGCACCTTTCAGGCAGAGCTTACCTCAGGGCCGAGCACATACCCTCAGCCTGCAGTCCCAGCCCGCAAAGTGTTCTGATCCATCATGGCTGAGACTCCCCCACCGGCCGACAGAGGCTGGTAGGCGTTAGTCCTGAAGCCCCGGGGCCTGGTATTTCTCCAGATAGATTTACCAGGCTGCTCTTGCCCCATCAGGACTGCAGGCTGTGGGTTCTTGATTTGCTCTCCACTGGGCCTGGATCCCTGCTGAGGAGCCTGCCTCGGTCTTGACCTGGACTCATGTGCTCCACCCCCGATAGATCACCCAGAATCTTGATGCCACCACCTGCCAGACTCCACACACAGCCAGTTCCAGACGCTCCTGGTGCAACGTTATAAGAACAAGAGCCTCCGCTTATCAAGCCCTTACGCTGTGCCAGGCTTGCATCATGCTGATAACATGCGTTATGTCACTAGATCCCTGCAACCACACCAGTGAATTTTATCATTACGTCCATGTTCCAGCTGAGGACAACGAATCTTAAAGAGGTTAGGAGCTTACCTGAGATCACACTTAGTAAACGGTAGGACCAAGTTTCGTGCTCAGATATCCCGACACCAAGGTCAGTCTGATTACCCATCTTGCTATATTACCCTCCCCACAGAGAACCTGCAACCCCAGTGGACGCCAGTGTTGGCCCAGATGTCAGGGTCTTGGGACTGGGATTTGGGTGGCAGGCCTATGAGGAGGGCCCCATAGCGGATAACGGCCCAAACTCTATCCACTCCTGCCCTCCTCTCCTTCCCAGCGTGCCCATAATCCAGAGCTCCCAGCATGCCTCGCCGTCAAGTCTGAATGGGTACTGACCACTGATCGTGCTCTTAGGGAAGTGGAACAGGTGAAATCAAGAACCTCAGAACCCCGGGACTTCCCTAGTGGTCCAGGGGTAAAGAATCCGTCTTCCAGTCCAGGGGATGGGGGTTCCATCCTTGGTCGGGGGAACTAAGATCCCACATGCCGCAGGGCAACTAAGCCAGCGTGCCACAACTACTGAGCCCGTGCGCCTCAATGAGAGAGCCCGCGTGCTGCAAACTACAGAGTCCAAGGGCTCTGGACCCCGTGGGCCACAGCTACAGAGCCGATGCGCCCTGGAGGCTGTGCGCCACAACTAGAGAGAGAAAACCCGCACGCCACAACTAGAGAGAAGCCTGCACGCCGCAACAAAGAGCCCGTGTGCTGCAACTAAGACCTGACGCAGCCAAAAAAAAAAAAAAAGAACCTCAGAATCCCAACTCAGCAATTAGAGGGGGCTCCACACAGCTTTTAGATTTTCCTCTTTGGAAGCCCTTAGATATTTTAAGTCCCAGGTTCAGAAATCCTGGCTTTCAGGTCACGTAAGAAATCCTGAAACATTCAATGTCTGTGGAGGTCTTGCGTCTTCTCCAAAGACTTCATTCCACCAGGGAAAGCTGCTTCCCCCTCAGTGTCTAGGGCCTTAGAGGTAGGCAGGGAGGGGGAGTGTGGGCCTCATGGAAAAGGAGTAAGAAATGAAAGCAAAGGAGCAGCTTCATACCAGTCCGGACTCCTGGGATAAAGTGCTCCCCACTCGGCTTCACATCATGGCAGCCTCAGCGAGGGCACCACAAGGGGTCCCAGTGTGGCTGGATGGGGGGGGTCCCTCGCCATGAGAAGGTGCCATTGAGCTCTTGGGGAGGGTGGAGCTGCTGTGGGCTGCCAAGGCATAATGCACAGGCCCTGTGGGCGGCATAATGCAGTATTTATCTCCCTCACTTTGCAGAGAGGGAACAGGCAGAACAACAGACTCTGTCAGCAAGGTCCTCTGGGGAGTTCAGGCCTCACTAATGAAGATGAATCAGACGGGGGAATCTGCCTTTGCCGCTCAGAGCTAATGTATACATATTCATGGGCGGGGAGGACAGCTCCCAGAATCACCCATCCTCCAGAGAGGCCGCAGGGGCAGAGGCATGGCAGTGCGAAGCTGCACTTGGGGGGTGTGTGTGTCTTGTGGGGTGGAACACTGCGGGCTGTGAATTAGGGCGCCCCAGGAAATACCCTGAAATGGATGGAATTCCCAAGGCGAAATTTACTCCTTTGCCCGCTGCAAATGTATGAGTCCTGGTCTGAGCTCAGGGACCCCTGAAGAACTTAGTTCTCAGCTGAGTTCCAGAAGCAAATCCAGCTCTGCTACTTCCTACTGCACATCAGCTAATACCAACCCTCACACCATATCTCTTCTGCCTGGTGTGGCCTCATGGAATCTGCTGGAGGTTCCATGTTAGAGTTCCAGGTACACACGAAGCCTCGGGACACGTTACAGCATCTCATCTCATACACATAGACCCTGTCTTCTGAATCTCCATCTGACTCTTCCATGATGTGCCCTCAACTAAGTTTTTCTGCAACAAATCCTTGCCCACCATAGACCTCCAGGGTCCAGGAAGGTGACCTTGGTAGGAGATTATACAGTGTGTAGGGAAATCGGGACCAAAAACTTGGGCATCTGTAGCCTGTTTCTTCAGGCGAGAGCAAATGTTGGCCCTGCACCTACGCACACCGTCACTCTGAAGTCAGTGGATTTGCTCTTGACTCACAGATATTTTGACATGTGGGAGGTTTTATTCCCTGTTTCGGTGCACTCAGCCTCTGTCCCCACGCAGCATAACGGAAAGGATACACACTGAGTCAAATAAATCAAATCCCCTCTCTGCAGCCGGCCTCCTGCAGGTTTCCACGGAGCCACAGGCTAGTCCTTAGCAGCAAGACAAATGTCTGACAGAGCTCAGCGTGCCTTACCTGCCTTTCCGACATGATGTAGAGCTGCTTGTGGTCCTTTGAGAAGGCCATGTCCCGGAGGACAGGGCTGGGGTCCACCACCTGCACCGTCTCGTACTGGAGGGCATTGCCCCTGGGCCCATCTACCCGGATCTGTGGAGAAGAAGGAGAGGAGAGGTGGTGTGAGTTCCGATCCTGCGTGGCCTGCGGTCCAGCTTCCGCCCGGGTCCCCTCCCACAGGCAAGGGGGAGGAGGTGAGCCCTGCCTCCCAGAGGCCAGGCCTGAAGGCTCAGGAGCGGCACACGCCCACCAGGGGCCTGGCGTTGGGAATGGCAAAGAGAAGGGAGGAGGCGGAGACCAAGCCGGGCTGCACCAAGAACCTGGTGTTCTTCTCTCTGGCTCACTATGCCTTAGGCTCGAGTCTTTGAGGCCTTGCTTGTACATCTTTGGAGAAGAGGACGGGCCTTTCTAGTTACTCAGCATATTACCTTATTGTTAACTTAATAAAAAGGTTCTCTGCAACATCAAAAGTCCTACCTGATATACTGATAGAATAGATGGGGAAGATGAGATGCAGTACGTTAAACAACTGGCCTGAGCTATCAAATCTGGTAACAGAATGAGAATCTAGTTTGACCCTGGAGTCCATGCTTTTCCTACCACTCCACTTACACGAGGGACCCTGTTCCTTGATGGCTTTCATGTTTACTTCCTGGGGATGCCACTAAAGGCAGCGGCCTCCAGCCTGCACAATTCCAGAGGCTTTTGCCAGTCATTCCCAATTCTGAAGCTGAAACACTTGCACTTGGCAAATATTTATTTTAAAAATGAAGAAATAAATGCAGTTCAAACTCTTCTTTGCAGATTTCCCATTAAGCTCAGGAAAACAACAACAACAGCAATGAAAACAAACAAACAAACTGGTGAAGGAATTAACAAAAGATACGTTTAGCCCTGAAAACCTAAATGCCTTGGATTCCAGTAGCCCTCCTCCTTCTGCCCCCACTCCCAAGCCACCAGCTGTCTACCCTGGCCAGGTCTTTCCTTAATCTGAATGAAATGGGAGCTCATGCAAAACCAATTGGGATTACCACCCAAGTCTGACCACGAGGTGATGGCCTTGGCCCCCAGCCCAGCCAGGCTTCATCCCCAGCTGTGAATCACCCTTGGAGAAGCAGCATGAGAGTGATATTGCATGGCCGGCTGGTCTCCAGTCCCTTAAGGCTGCCGGCAGGAGCAAGCGCCCCTCGGGGATGCTAGCAGAATGGAGTCCCACCCAGTGCCCCGTGGTCTGATCCCCGAGGGAAATTGGATTCAGTGCCTGAGTGATCATCTGGCTCCAACTTCCCTGCTCTGTAGGGTGAGCTGATGTGCTGGATGTGGACGTCAGAAGAAACTAGGTGAACTGGGCAGGGACAGAGGGGTGGACCAGGGAGCACCAATGGGGCAAGTTTTCCCAGGCCCAAGGAGGCAGGATGGGGGTATGACCCCCACCCTTGCCCATTCTGCCAGGGCAGGAAATCAGTAATTGGAAAGGTGGTTCCTGGAAATTCCCTGGTGGTCCACTGGTTGGGACTTAGCACTCTCACTGCCAGGGGGCTCGAGTTTGATCCCTGGTCAGGGAACTGGGATCTTGCAAGCCATGTGTCGCAGCCAAAAAAGTAATAAAAATAAAAATAAAAGACCTTTAAAAAAAAAGAAAAGGTAGTTCTCCCCTTCACATCACCCCACCCCAATCCACTACTTGTTTCAGAAAACAGAAAGGAAAGCATCCATTCATCCATCTTCTGAAAGAGTCTCACACAAGACATGAATAAAAGAGTTTATGGTGGATGTGCTGAATGATGGGCAATCACAAAATTTAGGTAGGCTGGACCAGCTGCTGGCTCTTGGGCCATTACATGAATAAGAACAAGAACTGCTAGCGACTGAGTGGCTGCTACGCGTCCTGCACGATTCTAGGCATTCTACATGTATTTACTCTCTTATTTAAACCTCATAATTCCATGAAGCCTTAATATTCCACTAAGCCTTATTCCAATAAGCCTTAATAAATCCCATTTACAGGTGAGGCACAGAGAGGTTTAATACCTTGTTCATGGTCACACATTTAGCGATCGGCATGGCCTCAACCCCTGCCAAGGTCCAACCAATTCCAGAGTCCACCAACACAAGCTGAGCCAGGTCCTACTGGTTCTATAAACATGCATCTCTTCTAGGAGTGAAAGTAGTTACTGTTAAACAAGCATCACCCTGGGAGTGCTGGAGGAACCATGTCTATCTACTGTAGTCCTTCAGGGAAAGAATCATGCATATGAATGAAAAAGATGCTGTTGTAAATTTTCAAAATAATTACCCCTTATACTTTTGTTTTATACCTTGCTGAGAATGTTATTCTTAAATAACATCGTCTCATTTGATGGTTGTAGAATTTTTATGATGTTGACTGCCAGCATAATCATTCTCATTTTACCAAAGAAAAACTGAGATTGGGGCTGTTCTGTGTCTCTTCCAAAGTTCGGTGATAAACGAATGACAGTCAGGACTAGAACCCAGGTTTCCTGATTCCTAGCTCAGAGATTGCCATTGAGCTATTTAGATCTTCCCAGAGCCTTTGACAAGGTTCCACATGAAAAGGTGTTTAAAAATAATGAGTCTCTGGGCTTCCCTGGTGGCGTGGTGGTTGGGAGTCTTCCTGCCGATGCAGGGGACGCGGGTTCGTGCCCCGGTCCGGGAGGATCCCACATGCCGCGGAGCGGCTGGGCCCGTGAGCCATGGCCACTAAGCCTGCGCGTCCGGAGCCTGTGCTCCGCGGTGGGAGAGGCCATAACAGTGAGAGGCCCATGTACCGCCAAAAAAAATAAATAAATAAAAATAATGAGTCTCCATGGGATTTTGGGCAGTTTGGCCATGGAGAGAGGACCAACTTAGAGACAGAAAAAGACACATTTCTGCATGGAGAAGTGGGAACTGGGGGACTCCCCAGGCACTAGTGTCATGACTGGTCTTATTTAAAACTTTTTTTTTTTTAACATCTTTATTGGAGTATAATTGCTTTACATTGTTGTGTTAGTTGCTACTGTATAACAAAGTGAATCAGCGATACATATACATACATCCCCATATCCCCTCCCTCTTGCGTCTCCCTCCCACCCTCCCTATCCCACCGCTCTAGGTGGTCACAAAGCACCGAGCTGATCTCCCTGTGCTATGCGGCTGCTTCCCACTAGCTATCTATTTTACGTTTGGTAGTGTATATTTGTCCATGCCATTCTCTCACTTCGTCTCAGCTTACCCTGCCCCATCCCCTGTCCTCAAGTCCATTCTCTACGTCTGCGTCTTTATTCCTGTCCGGCGCCAAAGTTCATCAGAACCTTTTTTTTGTTCTTAGATTCCATATGTACATGTTAGCATACGGTATTTGTCTTTCTCTTTCTGACTTACTTCACTCTGTATGACAGTCTCTAGACCCATCCATCACTACAAATAACTCAATTTTGTTTCTTTTCATGGCTGAGTAAGATTCCATTGTATATATGTGCCACACCTTCTTTATCCATTCATCTGTCAATGGACACTTAGGTTGTTTCCATCTCCGGGCTATTGTAAATAGAGCTGCAATGAACATTTTGGTACCTGACTCTTTGAATTATGGTTTTCTCAGGGTATATGCCCAGTAGTGGGATTGCTGGGTCATATGGTAGTTGTGTTTTTAGTTTTTTAAGGAACCTCCATACTGTTCTCCATAGTGGCTGTATCAATTTACATTCCCACCAACAGCGCAAGAGGGTTCCCTTCTCTCCACACCCTCTCCAGCATTTATTCTTTGTAGATGTTTTGATGATGGCTATTCTGACTGGTGTGAGGTGATACCTCGTTGTAGTTTTGATTTGCATTTCTCTAATGATTAGTGATGTTGAGCGTGCTTTCATGTGTTTGCTGGTAATCTGTATATCTTCTTTGGAGAAATGTCTATTTAGGTCTTCTGCCCATTTTTGGATTGGGTTGTTTGTTTTTTTGATATTGAGCTGCACGAGCTGCTTGTGTATTTTGGAGATTAGTTCTCTGTCAGTTGCTTCGTTTGCAAATATTTTCTCCCATTCTGAGGGTTGTCTTTTCATCTTATTTATGGTTTCCTTTGCTGTGCAAAAGCTTTTAAGTTTCACTAGGTCCCATTTGTTTGTTTTTATTTCCATTTCCCTAGAAGGTGGGTCAAAAAGGATCTTGCTGTGATTTATGGTATAGAGTGTTCTGCCTATGCTTTCCTCTGAGAGTTTTATACTGTCTGGCCTTACATTTAGGTCTTTAAATCCATTTTGAGTTTATTTTTGTGTATGGTGTTAAGGAGTGTCCTAATTTCATTCTTTTACATGTAGCTGTCCAGTTTCCCCAGCACCACTTACTGAAGAGACTGTCTTTTCTCCATTGTATATTCTTGCCTACTTTATCAAAGATAAGGTGACCATATGTGTGTGGGTTTATCTCTGGGCTTTCTATTCTGTTCCATTGATCTATATTTCTGTTTTTGTGCCAGTATCATACTGTCTTGATTACTGTAGCTTTGTAGTATAGTCTGAAGTCAGGGAGCCTGATTCCTCCAGATCCGTTTTTCGTTCTCAAGATTGCTTTGGCTCTTCAGGGTCTTTTGTGTTTCCATACAAATTGTGAAATTTTTTGTTCTACCATTGGTAGAACAAACTACCAAATGCCATTGGTAGTTTGATAGGGATTGCATTGAATCTGTAGATTGCTTTGGGTAGTATACTCATTTTCACAATGTTGATTCTTCCAATCCAAGAACATAGTATATCTATCCATCTGTTTATATCATCTTTAATTTCTTTCACCAGCGTCTTATAGTTTTCTGCATACATATCTTTTGTCTCCTTAGGTAGGTTTATTCCTAGGTATTTTATTCTTTTTGTTGCAATGGTAAGTGGGAGTGTTTCCTTAATTTCCTTTCAGATTTTTCATCATTAGTGTATAGGAATGCAAGAGATTTCTGCACATTAATTTTGTATCCTGCTACTTTACCAAATTTACTGATTAGCTCTAGTAGTTTTCTGGTAGCATCTTTAGGATTCTCTAAGTATAGTATCATGTCGTCTACAAACAGTGACAGTTTTACTTCTTCTTTTCCAATTTGGAGTCCT